TGCACAGCTGCCTTCCTCGACGTATCACAGGCATTCGACAGAGTTTGGCACGAAGGCCTACTCTTCAAACTCAAATCTATTCTTCCACCCTACTATTTCCTATTATTTAAATCCTATTTAGAAAACAGACATTTTTCCGTTCGATCTGGCTTCTCCTTATCTGAAGTATCACCTATCCACGCAGGGGTACCTCAAGGTTCCGTAACAGCACCTCTACTCTTCAATTTATTCACCTCAGATCAACCTACCACCCCCAACACTACAATTGGTGATTTTGCTGACGACAAGGCGCTCCTAGCGATCCATTCCGACCCCGAAATAGCCTCAAACCTCGTACAAAATCACCTCAATCTCTTATCAACCTGGTATAAAGACTGGGGAATAAAAATTAATGAAACAAAATCCATCCATTATACGTTCACTCTAAGGCAAATAGTCTGCCCGCCCATCTTCCTCAACAATGTACCTCTCCCAACCGCCCAAAATGTTAGATACCTAGGTTTACATTTAGACCGCAGGTTAACTTGGGCAACTCACACCCACAACAAAAGACTTGCCTTAAATAATCGCTCTCGACAATTACGTTATCTCCTCACATCACAACATCTCAACTTAAAAAACAAGCTACTATTATACAAACTCCTACTCAAACCAATCTGGACATACGGTATCCAACTCTGGGGGGCAGCCAAAAAGTCCAACTTAAATAAAATTCAAATCTTCCAATCTAAATGTCTCCGTCAAATAACCAAAGCTCCCTACTTTGTATCTAACGACACTCTACATAAAGATCTAGCTATTCCAACAGTTCAAAACGTTGCAAAAACTTTCTACAAACGCACACACTCCAAGTTCCACAGCCATCGTAATCCCCTGATTACCGAACTATCTACCAACACTATTCCTGGTGACCCCAGAAGGCGTCTAAAACGTACCTGGTGTCATGACCTACTAATATAAAATTGTTTATACCTCTATCTCCCTAATTTTGTAATCACACCCTCTCCTACTAGCAAACTAAAATTTCTAGCCTAAAATCCTAACCTTAAGTACCTCCAATGGGCGGTTTCTTATCTCCAGCCTCTCAAAAGCCATATCACCNTTAAAAAAAAAAAAAAAAAAAAAAATCTTTTGCGGCGACGATTGTATAACCATAGTGCAATAATTTGTTTGTCGTTCATTATAACAACGCGCGACTGGAGTGTTCTTATAAAACTAAACCTGTACAAATGCATACTAAGCATAGGAACCCTGCATAAATCGTGTTTTGCCGTACGGTCAAAACCGTGTAGTGTGAAACGAGCCTAATGATCGAACACACTGCCCCGTTACAAAAATTACACGTACACTATACAGAATGCCGTATCGCCGGTATGCCAGCCGTTATCGTGACGAAAATTTCCGTCTCTCAGGGAAAACCAGATTTTGTTGCTGAATAATTAATAGTATAAATGACAGTAAATTAATAATAGATAGTGGAAGTCAAATCTCATGTATATCATCAGAAATGTATGACTATAAAAAATGAGAATCCAACCATTCCAAAACTTCCAGTATCCGGTATCAAATATTCAACGCGGTCGCAAAACGTATAATACAAGCACTACAGCAAATATGCTGCACGATTAATTTTCATGGCCACAATACATAAGTAGTATTGTTAATTGTAAAGGACTTAAATGAAAACGGAATATCGGGATCCGATTTTCTCCGACAGAACGAAGCCAACATACAATACAAAGACGATTCACTTTTAGTCACCATTACCTAAAATAAGATTAAAACACCATTTAGATCTTGGGAAAGTAACCAATAGATATTAATATACACCGAACAATAATGGAACAACATTAACAATTAATGGCAAAATAAAAGGAAACAGTATTTAGACCCGAACCAGAACGAATTCAAGATTTCGAATGGCTCATTCACTTCAAGTCTCTACTACTTGCAAACTGTGGGCATAATTTTCGATAACTTTGGATAAAGATGAGGGGCCAACTTCATGGAGGTCATTAAACGCTTATAAAAACCTACTACATATATCTTATCTAATTGTTTTTACCACCAAGCAGAACTTATAATAAACTCGGTGTTAAAAATATATTTAAGTATTTATGTAGTGAGGGAGCTATTGGTTTTACCATTGATTACAAATACTATTGATTGTCCTCTGCAATAGAAAATACGAAAATAATGTATAGATATTTATAAATAAATCTATTTTTATTTGTTTTTAATAGAATTATGTAATTCCTAAATTAAAATTCCTCAGCAAACACTACAACAGTACCTACACAATTATTATTGAACTACCCAGTCGTTCAATATTGTTCTAGCATATTTGTATTCCTAATAGACTGAATGTTGGAAAACAATATTAATAAAAACAATTGTATAGCATTTGTAGTAATTTCTCACTACCAAGCGCTTTATTTATTTAACACAACGTACCCACGAGTCTGCAGCAGGTTCAGTGGTGTAGCTCGTGGATAAAATTGGTGGTGTATATTTAATTGCATAGAAAATTTTATAAACGAGTCGGTAGTTTCAGAGATAAGTATAACTTCACCCGATGGATAAATTTAGTAAACAAAAAGCAAAAATGAAATACATAAATCCGCTAATAAATTTGGCCGTCCCTTTACATGATTAATACGATTGAGATTTTCTTTATTAAAAAAGAGAGCCGATATTGGGACTAATGTAGCCACTATTGTAGGTGGGAAGTTGGAAAAGTTATTTAATTTATATCTATAAGTAATGGTAATCCATTATTCCTGACAAAAAAAATTCTGAGCAAAATATTCTGTTATATAGATTTTGAAACATCATAACATTTTCCTATTTTTTATGAAATTATTTGGAAAATCAAAAATGTGTTCATTAAAATAAGAAACAAGAACCAAAATGCAACAAAAAAAGGTTCCTTCAGTTTCTAGTCATTTTTCCATTAGTAAACTATTTCTGGTAGAATACACTTTTTAGATTATGAGCATAGCCAGGAATATATTGGTTTTACAATGATGTTTATTTTCTTTTCTTTTGGTCTGTGTACAATACGTTTATTTCTAGTAAACTTGCTCAAGAGCATAAACCTTTTTCTAATCTAGTTCATATTTCATAGTGATAATTTTTTTGATTTTCAACGCGGTTTTCGAAATAATAGCACCTAAGTGTGAAAAAATGTAGAAAAACTGTACAATTTTACGATTTCATTATTTTAAATAAACACTAACTATCTCTGAAATAGCGTCAAACCACTACAAAAAATTTCATAAAAATACCATTAATCATCCTAACCCTCTCATATCTAACCTCTCCTCTCTCTCACTCTCAGATAACCCTATCCGCCGCCTCAAACGTAATTGGCCACGTGACCTACTTAACCTTTAAAAACAATTATCATCAGTTAGTCAAAAAAAAAAAAAAAAAAAAAAACCATCACAATTACTTATTGTAAATATATTTACAGATTGTATATTTTCTTTTCTAATAAATAAAAAAATAAACACTGATGTTTTCTACCAGAAAAAGTGTTTTATTCGAAAAATGACTTTTTTTGAGAGACCTTTTTTATTGTACATTGAATTTCGTTTTTTGATTATCGAAGCCGTTTTTATAATAATTAGGAAAAACTGGGAAGAAACGTAGGAAAAATGTACAATAATTTCATACAGTATATTTGTTCAATTTTGCTTTAAAACTGCAGTACAATTAACCGAGCTCCGTCAGCAATAACTATTATCGTTGCTTACAGTTATTAAATAAACTTATGTTATAAACCTACCTTCCCAACTGAAAATCGTTGGGTGGAAATATTTACGTACCTCAATGCTAATGATCTCTCACACGTCAATTTTTTTACAATTATAGAATACATTTTGTGTCTGCCAGGCAGTAACGCTCCAGTTGACAGTTCTTTTTTATGAATAAAATATGGATCAGTGAAAAGACTCAGTTGGGAGTCTCTGTATTAAAATCCATTCCTATAACAAACAAATCTTGTCAAGAGTTCCATTCATATATAAAAACCAAACAGACAATTTTAAAGCAGATTTGTGGATCCGACAAATATAGAAAACCAGTCGAATAATTTACACTATTATTACATTATCTATACTATTATATAAAATTGTAAGGGTTTTTCTTCGACCGCGCTAACCGAGAAAACTACTGGACCGATTTGGCTGAAATTTTTTTTGGCTGAAACCCGACACTCTGCTGAAGGTTATAGTACCACTTTTGTCAGTAAAAAAGTTCATAAAAGTTCATAAAAAATTAAAAACAATTGTACCTATATTGTGCGGCACGGCGGGTCGCGGGTTTACAGCTACCTGTAACTTGACCTTTTTTTTGTATCGTGTTTGATATCGGCGTTCCGAGAAGTATATCGCACTTACACCGACAACACGTATACCCAATATTCATATCTATACTATATTGTTATTATTATAACTTCGTTATCTATACTATTATATAAAATTGTAAGGGGTTTTCTACGACCGCGCTAACCGAGAAAACCACCGTACCGATTTGGCTGAAATTTTTTACCGTTGTACCCGACACTCTGCTGAAGGTTTTAGTACCACTTTTGTCAATAAAAAATAAGTATAAAGTTCTTGAAAAATTAAAAAATTGTCTACCCATATTATATACGTATTGTGCGGCACGGCGGCCCGCGGGTTTACAGCTACCCGCGACCTGACCTTTTTGTTCGTCAAATTGTATCGTGTTTGACATCGGCGTGTAGGTACGAATTGTTCCGAGAAGTTTATCGCACGCACACCAAACAACATGTATACCGAATATTCGTATTAATCTTTATCTATATCTTTATATATTTATATCTACAATAATTTCTCAATTCTCTTTCTCCTTCGGAATTTCCTCTTCATAAGCTAAAATTAAAAATTGGTACTCCGATTACATTATTACGTAATCTTCAACCACCGAAGTTATGTAACGGTACAAGATGACAAATAAAATCGTTGCAGAATAGTGTTATAGGAGCCGTCATTCTTACGGGGCCGGCAAAAGGAGAAATTGCATTTATTCCAAGAATTCCCATGATTCCGTCGGACTTGCCGTTTCCGTTCAAAAGGCTTTAATTCTCTGTTAAAGTTTCTTTGGCAATCATGATAAACAAAGCTCAAGGTCAAACATACAGGTACGTTGGCGTAGGTCTTCGAACACAGTGCTTTTCACATGGACAATTATACGTGGGATTTTCTCGAACTGGGGACCCGAAGCATCTTATGATTTTAATTTCAACAGGAGATAAAACAAAAAACGCCATATACTCAGAAGTTTTATAAAATTCTTTATCAACCGTAAATTACTCAGCATTTCTTTTGTATCTGCATTCATTTTTAGTAAAAATATATTTGTCATTAATCCCGCTTGAAACATTTCAATACGTTTTCATTAACCGTTTTTTTTTTTTTTATATTAATTTGCCAATATTATTAAACGATAGAATTTGATTAAGAAGTTCTATATATCATTATCCAAAGGCAAATTAAACAACCAATCACGGGTGAAGCCGTGACGGGTCGGCTAGTA